AAAGAAAGAAAGAAAGAAAAGCAGTCTATCTCGGGTGAGCAAAAACTGCCAAGCAATCCCGTCCATACTCATTTGTTCTCACTGACCCACTCACTTCTCCACTTCCTAGGTGTGCTGGATGATTCTGGTACTATCCACCTAGGTGGTGCTGAAGCACTCTCCGCTCTGAGATATTCCCAGTACAGCCCTAATACCCTTAGTGTCCCCTTCCAAAAATCACCAGCTGTCAACCGACATCTGCAACCACGGAAGAATGTCTAATCACGCTTACTATGCAAATCCAAACTCAGCAGTGTGGCATGGGGAGCCCTGCCAATAATCCCTTGACCCATTCCTCCTTGGCCAATGTTATTTTAAGGTAAGTTTTATTATCATATCTATTTTAAAGATGAAAAAGGAAACTCATAAAAGTTAAATACGGGTTATACAAGTCTGCTTTAGGCTCATGCCAGGTGCCATTGACAGGATTAATGGCTCATTCTTCCAGATCTTTCTGTATATCTGTACGTAATTCATGACACCCCGTCAGTTTTGAGTCAAGGGTGTGTTTAATGGAAATGCACATCCACGACAAGGTGTTAACTCCTTGAATACATTTCTTTTCTTCTTTTTTTTTTTTTTGTACATTCCTAATGTAGTGTGGCTGGCAGCCCACGTTAGATGGAATTGCGCCTTCCCTCCGCCATTTCCTCTAAGCTTTGGAAAGACTCAAATTTCCTGAAATGTAAATCTCTAGCTAGCGGTTTCCTGTTCCCATTCCCACTTCCCTTTCCCGATTGAGTCTCCTCTTGCCTGGCTGGCTGGGGCCGGATGGCAAACGGCAGTGTCCACATCCCCTTAGCGGCCTATGCGGGATCCAGATTCCGGGGACCTCCCTCCTTGGGAGTCCTTTAACCCCAGTGCCTCCCATTCCTCTCCTCCTCCCACCCTGCGCTGTTCTAGGAGGAGCCTAAATGTCCGCTTCCCCAGCTGAAGGGGATTGTGGTGCGTAAGCAGGATTAACTCCCTCGCCCCCAAGTGGCCTGCGGGCCGGAGCGAGCCCTTGGGTGAGCGGAGGGCGCAGCACCGGGAGCGGGGGATGGGGCAGCTCTCGGCCTCGGGGCAGTCTCTGGGGAGCGCGTCCTCGCCGACTGGGGCGGGGGGCCACAGCCTCAGCAGCTGCTGCTCCAAAGCCCCAGCGGCCCGCGGCTCCGGCGCGGGTTCCTAGCGGCAGCTTCCCCTCCACCACCTCCCTTTCCTCCCCGCGCTTCTTCTCCGCCCCCCACGCTCCAGCCACTTGGTCGCAGCCCACGCTGTCTTCAGCCCCCCGGAGCCGCCGCGCCAGCCCCTCGCCCAGCTATGGGGGACCTGCCGGGTCTCGTGCGTTTCTCCATCTCGCTGCGCATCCAGCCCAACGACGGTCCGGTCTTCTACAAGGTGGACGGGCAGCGGTTCGGCCAGAACCGCACCATCAAGCTGCTCACCGGCTCCTCCTACAAGGTGGAGGTGAAGATTAAGCCCACCACACTGCAGGTCGAGTGAGTGCGGGGTGCGCCGCGGTGGCACGGTCCTGCGAGGGGTGCAGACGGTGGGGTGGGGACGCCCGGGACAACACAAGCCTCTCCGGGGCCTCTGGCTTCGCGCGGTGCCCAGCGGGCCGGGGGGTGGAGGGAAGAGGTTGACTCCCAGTTCGCCTTCGCCCCCTCCTCCGCCTTCCGAGTGATTGCATCCCTCTATTCTCCCTTCCCGCCACCCCTCGTGGTGACCTCAGTGGGTTCGTTTAAGTCGTCGACTAGAAGCCAGGATTTTTGCTTGTTTCTCGTAAATTTCTTATCCCTTGTGTTCAGCCGTCACAGCAGAACCGCAGGCGGCCGGGTGGGGCAGAGGGGAGCAGCTCGGCGGGGTTCAGTACCGCAATCTCTGCCCTCCTCTGCTCCTGTCCTGGCATGCAGCCGGGTCTGCCCTCCAGGCTGGAGTGTGGGGGTTGGGGAGGGCTAGTTCTTGGGGCTCCGTGAGGGATGCCCAGCATTCCCCTGTCCCTCGGTGGCCAAGGTCCCCAGGTCCCGAGGAGCAGGCACAAGCTGGAGGGCGGGCGCCTCTGCTCAGGCCTAACTGGGTTCACGGTCTTCCCCGCCTGTGCTTTGCTTTTCTCTGTTCAGGCTGGTGATGGGTGCCAGGAATTAGCAACATCCTCATAGCAAGAGGATGTTTTTGGTTTATTCGTGACAGGGATTCTCTCTTCCCAGCTACCACAAGATGAGGCAGTCACTCAGCCTTCTTTCAGAAAAGTCTGTATATAGCCTACGAGAAGAATCAATCCACAGCTGAGGTCCTTGACCTCTCAGCTTCCACCTAAACGTTATGTGAAGTCTAGTCTGGAATGAGAAAATAAACCAACATTTATTGTATCTACCATATGCTGGACATTAAGGAGGGGGAAGGTTTTGAATCCTTTTACAGCTTAAATTAGAACAACAAACTTTACTGGTCTTCCAGGTGCAATGACTTAGGGCCAAACTTGGATGGTTTCTGGTACTTCTCATCCAGCACCCCCACATGTATCAATTTTAGAAAATTTGAAAACATTTGTATCCCTTAATATTTTGTAATAAAAATATTTTTAAAGAAAGAAAATTCAGTAACATGTAATCAACATTTGTGTTACTGTTTAAATAAAATGCTTTATTTAAATCTTCAAAGAAAAGGTTATGCGTTCTATATTCCATTTTCTTCAAAGTAGTTCTCTAGGTTTCAGAGTAATCTGAAAATTAATTTGTTAATAACAAAACTATTTTTTCCATTTACACTTTAATTTCATGAAGGAATTTTCAATGCCCTAACTTGATAGTTCTGAGTATAGGTCAGAAACACCTGGAGACCTTATTAAAATGAAGATGGCTGGGGCCCATCCCACAGTTCCTAGTTTACTGTATGGGAATTAAGAATTTGCTTTCTCCACAGGTGATGCTGGTACTGCTAGTCCAGGGACTTCATTTTGAGAACCATAATCCTGGGGCCATGGGCAAGCTTGGGGTACCTTAATTGTTGGAACAGAACAAGTTGTTAGAGAACTGGTTCACTGGTCCTTGACCCTACCTACAAATGAGGATCATCTAAATAACCTTAAAATCAATTTATCAGTGCCCAAACCATACCCCAGACCAATGGAATCTCAATCTCTGGGGTTATGGGTGGGGCTGGGTGTAGGTAGGATCTGAATAGCTGCACAGATGATGAACTTTCAGAACTTTCTCCCTTTGCCAAACCCTGTGGGTTTACTGCCTAGGATTTTGCTCCAGACCAGAACAGGATGCCTAGGCTAATTACTACTACATGTGGTCAACTCAAGTTCATTGCAGGAACATTTCCATTGGTGGCGTGCTTGTCCCGCTGGAACTGAAGTCTAAAGAGCCTGATGGGGACAGAATTGTTTATACGGGCACATATGACACAGAAGGTGTGGCCCCAACCAAGAGTGGAGAACGGCAACCCATCCAGATCACCATGCCGGTAAGGCTTGCTTGGGGTCATAGAGGTGTGGTACCAAGGCAAATGGAACCCATAGGAATGAAAACAGTCACTGTCTCCTTTTAAGAAAAGGCTTATTCAAAGCAAATTATTGTGGAAATTGGGTTGGGAGTTTCTTTCAAGGATCTGCCAAAAAGAGAACTAGGTAAGTATCTTTTGTATGGCAGACTGACCCTCTATATGATAAATGCTTAAAGACACCGTATAAGTAGACGGTTTGAGAGCCACAGTACCTACATTGCTATTGTATTTCTTCTGTTATATTCTACATCTGGACTGGTTTAGATAATTAGCCCGCAAAGTTTCTGTTTCCAAGTAGCCATAATCTTTTGGTTATGAGAAAGCTACTGGTTATGATTTTGCTACTTAAATCTATGCTAAATGGAAGAACCCAAAAAGTGACTGCCATGGGAAATAATGAGCCTCTTAAGACATATCTAGTCCTACCAGCAATAATACAAAATAAAAAGATGATATAGCCTGGTAATACTGGCTCCCAAGTAAAAAAGAAAAAAAAATTGGTAGCAAGGATAGTCAAGATAAAGATTTAAATATATGTGCAAGCATAATAGGTGATGAAGTATGCTTGCTAAAACACAGGGAAAGGGGGTCTCGCCTAACCTGCTGCTATAAAAACTGGGCAGCTTTCTCTCTCTGCAAGAACAACCTTGAAATGTCTGCCTTCTAGCTTTATAGGAAATATCACAAATGTTCTCAAATGTCAGTGTGCATAAGGATCTCCTTGTTTGTCTAAAATGCCAGTGTTAAGCCCTACTTCCAGTGATTTTAGTGCAGGAGAGCCAGGGTGAATCCAAAGAGACTCTGATAGGGATGGTTTGTAGAATGTGCTTTGAGAAACACTGATCTAAGACTTAATCTGTATAGTCTTAAAGGTCACCATAAATAGGAAAAATTAAGACACCTTCTTATGTTTTATATTTTTATTTTATTTTTATACATCAATACATAGGAAAATATATTGTCAATCTTATAAAATTTTGAGGTGAATACTTGTAAATAAAGGTACATTTAGCTACAGTTCCCCATTTCCCCCGTGTATGTATGTACATATGGTGGCCTTTAGGCATCTATATATATTTTATTATCAAATAGGCATATGTATATGGAACATCATTTTAAATTCTGCATGGGTCCTTTATGATACGAATTTGTCAAATTATCCTCAGTCATCTATTGCTGATTATTTCTATTTTTCAGTATTACAAAGAAAACTACATTAAAAATCACTCACTTCAGCTCGGCACCTGTGGCTCAAGCGGCTAAGGCGCCAGTCACATACACCCAAGGTGGCGGATTCGAATCCCCAGCCCAGGCCCGCCAGACAACAATGATGGCTGCAACTAAAAAATGGCCAGGCGTCGTGGCAGGCACCTGTGGTCCCAGCTATTTGGGAGGCTAAGGCAGGAGACTCGCTTGAGCCCAGGAGTTGGAGGTTGCTATGAGTTGTGATGCCATGGCACTCTACCCAGGGGGATAGCTTGAGGCTCCATCTCAAAAAAAAAAAAAAATCACTCACTTCTGCACAGTTGTCTGTTTTCTTGATTCCTACAAGAAATTTACATGTTAAGGCACTTTATAAGACTTCCTAACTAAGCTCCAGAAAGTAGGCAATTTACACTCCTATCATCTATATTTAAGTAAATATCTCCTTCTGAATTAGGTCTAATTATTTTAAAATATGTTTTATCTGATAGGCAGAATGTTTTCATTTTTATTTCTTTAGTTTAATTTGAAATCTTGACACGTCCATTTACCATTAGTATTTTCTTTGTGTATTGCATGTTCATAGTTTTTACCCACTTTTATACTTAATTGTCTCACTGATTTTTTTTTTTTTTTTTTTTTTGAGAAACAGAGTCTCACTTTATCACCCTTGGTAAAGTGTGATGGCGTCACAGCTCATAGCAACCTCCAACTCCTGGGCTGGACTGTTCTCTTGCCTCAGCCTCCCAAGTAGCTGGGACTACCCACCACAAGGCCCAGCTATGTCTCACTGATTTTTAAGAAACATTTTTAAGTTAAAAATAGTCATCTTTGGGTGGCACCTGTAGCTCAGTGGGTAGGGCACCAGCCCTACAAGGCTAGTGGGTTCGAACCCAGCCCAGGCCAGCTAAAACAATAAGGACAACTGCAGCAAAAAAATAGCCAGGCGTTTTGGCAGGTACTGGTAGTCCCAGCTAGAGAGGATGAGGCAAGAGAATCACTTAAGCCCCAAAATTTGGGGTTGCTGTGAGCTATGACACTATAGCACTCTACCCAGGGCGACTGCTTAAGACTCTGTCTTAAGGCTTGGCACCTGTGGCTCAAGTGGCTAAGGCGCCGGCCACATACACCTAAGGTGGCAGGTTTGAATCCAGTCCTGGCCCACCAAACAACAATGACGGCTGCAACCATAAAATAGCCAGGTGTTGTGGCGGGCACCTGTGGTCCCAGCTGCTTGGGAGGCAGAGGCAGGAGACTTGCTTGAGCCCAGGAGTTGGAGGTTGCTGTGAGCTGTGATGCCACAGCACTCCACCCAGTGTGACAGCTTGAGTCTCTGTCTCAAAAAAAAAAAAGACTGTCTTAAAAAAAAAAAAACTCATGTTCTAACACATCTTGAGTGTGTTTATCATTTACCATTTTCATTTTAACTTTGCTTGCAATATAAATTTTAAATTTCATGTAATCCAACACATAAACCTTTCCTTTATGACTTTTGAGTTAAGATCCAGCTTATAAAGTCTGCCTTGACTTCAAGATTGATTAATGATGCATACGTCTAAACACAGCTGAATGTGTGTATTTTCATCTGAATGCTCATGGTCTCATTGATTAAATTTCAAATGAATTACAGATTTAAAATTTTCAATTCGTGCTTTTATATTGGAATGTATTTGTCCCAATACAGTGATATAAGTAATCCATGCTTCTCCAATGATCAGTTTCATGGTAACTACTTATACAGCAAAAATTACCTTTTTGTATTCTTTCTAATCCTGTTGATTTGTCTACCCTCATATTAATGTTGCATTATTTTAAATACATTGTTTTTATAACATTCGTATGTTTTGTAACTGACCATCTTACTGAACTTGCTTACTAAAATTCTTCAATTAATCATCTTGGGCTTTTCAGATGGTCATAAGCTCTTTATTAATTGTCATTTTCTGATTTATTTTTTCCTAGCTTTGTACAGTTTTTTTTCCATGCATTGTATGTTTCTAGACTATGTCAATTTCAGTGTTCATTACAATATTTATCTTAAAGCAAATTTTTATGGCTCGGCGCCTGTGGCTCAAGCGGCTAAGGCGCCAGCCACATACACCTAAAGGTGGCGGGTTCGAATCCAGCCCGGGCCCACCAAACAACAATGATGGCTGCAACCAAAAATGGCCTGGCCCAGGAGTTGGAGGTTGCTGTGAGCTATGATGCCATGGCACTCTACCCAGGGGGATAGCTTGAGGCTCTGTCTAAAAAAAAAAAAAAAAAGCAAATTTTTATAGCTCACTGAGGTATTTTTTTAATTGGAAGATGTGTTAAATTTTATCTAATTCCTTTCTCCATCTATAAAGATAATTTATCTTCTTTGATAATTACTGTGGTAAATGTTATAAAATAATACAGAGTCAAATACTAAGCTGTCCTTTATTTCCTAAAAATAAGCCCTATTTAAAGATAGTGTTAGTTTTATTATATTGCTAAATTCAGTGTGCTAAGATTTTATTTAGGATATTTAGATTTTCATTTATTTGCTTGCTTTATGAGCAAGTATTTGAGTATTTCCCATGTATCAGGTGGCTGAGAAAAATGTGGTAAATAAAATAGATACCCCTAGCTTCACAGAGCTAATGATGTATAGGGGGAAAATGTACTTTATACTATGTATTAGTATATGATTGTCAATAAGACAAATAATTGCTATTATAAAGTGTAGTGAAAAAGTAGTGGTGGCCTTGGAGCAAATACTGGGGGTCTTATCCTAAGCTAAAATTTGGGGGATGGCTTTCTGGAGAAAGAAATTAAAGATCAATAAGAGCTGGGGGAAGAGAGAGTGCTTAAGGAAAGAGAAGTTGCAAAAATGAGAGTTGGGAGAGAGTATATTATATTCTAATGGAT